TCCTATCCTCTTCTTCAAATTCCGGTAGTAAGTCGCAGCGGTGGCGGCATGAGCGCTAACCCACCGAACCCGCTCCGTTGCTTCATCTCTCTCAAAGTCCAAAATATGTCTTCACTCTCCAGTGCCAAATGTTGAAAACCAGGCCCTTCGTTGTGCTCAAAATACGTCAATATCTGACTCGTCCACGGTGTGCCGTACACCGGCTCACATAATCCGAGGATAACCGTCTCGTCATTGCAGGCGAGGCACACCGTATTCAACCAGCTCTCGATTGTTCCGATGTCTTCGCCTCCAATTTCGGCGAATTTGTGGAATCCGGTGAATGATTTTAAGTAGTTGACGGCAGAAGCGAGTTCCGGAACGGTGCCGAAGGCGTGGTCAAGGCAGCGGAGGTCGTAGTTTTGGCCGGGAAACGACGAACTCGTTTCGATCGGTTCGAATCCAGATAAGAAAGTGGATGCGATGTCGACGGTAGGTTTTGTGTAACTAATATATCGTAAAACGGCGTCGTTGTAAACTTGGACCTCGGAAATTACGACGGAATTTTCCGGTTCACCCAAGGTGATCGGTAGTGAGAAGGATTTGGCGCCATTGGAGACACTGATGGAGTAGGCAAGCTCGGCGTCGTCGACCTCAATGGCGACTGAGCGGACGGCGAGTCCGTGGGCGGCGATGAAGGCGCGGCAAGCAGCATGGGAGAAGGTTGGTATGGAGGCTGTATTGGTGTCGACGGTGGAGATGGTGGCGGAGTAAGGGGCGGTGATGAGAAAGAGGAGTTGACCGCAACGGAGGAGGTACGATGCATGGGCTTTGTTTTCGGCGGATAAATCGGATTTGGCGACAATGGGCATGCCGAGAGCCCATGAGAATCGGCGGGAGGTGTTGGTGGCATCGGAGCACCAGAACTCGACGTGGTGGAACCTTCGAACGGAGAACAAATGAGAAGGCCACGTACTAGGATTTTTATGCACAGAAAAAGTGCCCAATAAGTGAGTATATATTGTTGTGTAGCATGTTATAACTCTGTTTATACCTCATGTCCATTGGAAATTTCCATTTTAGTATACAAGCAAGGGTCATTGTCAAAAAAATATGTTCATTATGTCTTCATTTATTGAATAAACGAACTTCCCGTCATACAGTTCACACACGATTTGTTGAACGTTCGGTTCTTTTATAGGCCTATGCAATATTTATTATTAAAAAGACAAAATCCCCTTGGGCTTTGGTCCGGTAAGTTAGTACCCACACGACCACATATGATACAACTAGAGATAGCAATGGGTAGGGTAAGGGTCATTTTGTTATTGAATTCATTTAAAATAGAGGGTAAGGAAACAGTTAGTTATCTATCTCATAAACCTATTTATCTATATCCTACCCTATGCTACCCATTAAAATAATGGGTAACAAAATGGGTAATAGATAAATGGCAAAACCAAATTCCATTTTGAGCCATAAATAATACCGTTAAACTTCAAACATATATGCCAAACATAAACTCATAAATACAACAATTATTATATATCTAATTTGTTATAGTAAACATTTTAATATTACTCTAAATATAATCGTTTTATACTTTTCGTTATATTTATTTTTCTGACCTCGTCTTGCTTCTCATCTAATTTTCATGAACACTTTTACTCCATAAATATATAAAGTAATTAAATTACACATTTATATACGACATATATGATTGCATTATAATAAATATTAATATTTAACTTAATACATTTGTGTGTATATATATATATATATAGAGAGAGAGAGAGAGAGAGAGAGAGATAATTCGTTTCAAATGCAACTCATCACATTGGTACAACCAATGCAACCCGATAAATTGAGATGTTCATGGAAATGATGATAGTTCATTTATTATGATTTGAATATTTATGGAAGATGAATAAAGTTTATTAATTATGATCAATAGTTTATATTATGAAACAATCAAAACTTCTATGAAATCACATATTCATCAAATTAAATGGACGGTTGAGATTAAATTATATCGATTTTATAAATATAATAATTAAGTATTCTGTTAGAACTCAATGATTATCCTAATTATATTTCAGATTTTTTATATTTAAAATGAGATGTTTATCCTGTATTTGATTGTGTTTATCTGCAGTTAATTACACGAATTCAGATATGGGATGAAATCGGATAGGGATGAACGAGTTTAAGAGTTTTATCCAAATATTTTATAAGATAATATAGATATAGTTAGCTTTCCGCGAAAATGGAAGTTATGGAGGATACAGACTTTTCTTACATTTCACCATCTCTCTCTATATATATATATGTATACATACATACACACACACACACACACATATATATATATATATATNTAATATTTTTTCTACTAATTATATAATAATAAAATTAAACATAAACATTGAGATTTGAGATATAAGTAAAACATAAAAAGTAAAAAATTATATAAACAAAACATATAATAATTATATTATATTTCACTTGTTCTAAAAGAATTGTGTCTCGCTGATTCATAATAGATCATTTCATTCAAGTCAACAAATGTTGACGCGTTCGAACAACTATGTCTAAAGGGTATTTCTCTTTTTATCTGTTTTTGACTTTCGATTATATATATATAGATAGATCAAAAAAGAATAATAAAAAAACAAAAAAAAAGATAATAAAGAGGAACATTAATGGCAATATAAATAGTTTTTTGAGGTTAAAAAAGAGGAACATTAATGATCAAAAAATATTTTGATTCTCCCTCTTCTATAACAATATAAATAGTTTTTTGAGGTTAAAATAATCTAAGTAACAAATTTTCTAAAAAGCTCAATCATTTAATTATTAAAAAAAAATGCAACGACTTAAACATTGAACATAAAAAAAAATTCAACAACTTATTCAATCAAAAAAAGTTCAAGAACTTAATAACTTAAAATGGAACAGTTTCTTTAATTTTATGAACTTTTTCCTTATTTAAATTCAATACAAATAGTTTCTATAAATATCTCATCCATTAAAATAACTAATTAATCATAAAGATTAACTTTTGGATTAAACTATTTTAGGTTTTTAAAATAATTACAATAAGACTTTAATACTAATACATATATGTAATATAATAGTAGGGCCTAATCAAATGATAATTAATTAGTTTGTGGTAACCGTGAGATCCAATCTTAACCACAAATCAATAGATAAATTAGGAAATTTATAATTTTGGTAATTTTGAATTAAAATTTTAATGCAAGAACATTTTAGGTATTTTAAAACTCTCATCCTCCTATCTTCTCTCTCCGTCGCCCATCCTCCGGCCACCGTCCTCCAGTGATACCACAATGGTATTACAATGCATCATATACGTGTTTGGGTATCACATTGAAGTCGTTTGTGTGGTCGATCGGAGATATAACATAGTGGCATCACAATGCATCATACACGTGTTTGGGTATTACACTGAGGTCGTTTGTGTGGTCGATTATAAATGTAACACAATGATATCACAATGCATCTTATATATGCTTGGGTATCACACTGTGTCTTTTATTTAACATAGTCAATATTTTTAGGTATCACAGTGGTATCACCGGAGGACGGTGGCCGGAGAGAGGAGAGAAAATACCTAAAATGTCCTTGCATTAAAATTTTAATTCAAAATTACCAAAATTGTAACTTTCCCAATTTATAATTGATTTGTGGTTGAGATTGAATCTCACGGTTACCACAAACTAATCAGTTCTTTCTTGAATGGGTCTCATAGTAGTGTATATATATATATATATATAGGTTGGTTATTATACAATCCTTGATATTTGTGCAACCAATACAACTCAATCTCAATCGTCCATTTCATTTGATTAATATGTGATTTCATAGAAGTTTTGATTGTTTTCTAATATAAAGTATTGATCATAATTAATGAACCATATTCATCTTCCATAAATATTTAAATCATAATAAATGAACTCTCATCATTTTCATAAAATATCTCAATTTATTGGGTTGCATTGATTGTACAAATGCGATGAGTTGTATTTGAAACAAACTTTCTATATATATATATATATCTCTCTCTCTCTCTCTCTCTATATATATATATATAAAATATAAATGAAGATAATAAAACCGATATATAATAACCGATATATACGTAAAATATACAACATAGAATATATATAATTATATAATATAACTTAATTAATATATATATATATATATATATACTATATTACAAAATATTTGACAAAAAAATTTAAAAATATTTTTTTTATGTCTAAGGTACTGTTTATTGATGTATATTACTTAAAATTCAAGATTACAAGTAGAATGTAATCAGTACATTTTATTAAAGCTCTATGTTTGAATTCGTGTAACTAAGTACATAAAGACATAATTAAATACATGATGAACATCATTTCTAAATATAAACAAATCTAAAATATAATTAATATTATCATTAAGTTATAAGAGAATACTTAATTATTATCTTAAAAAATATTTTATTAAAGTAAAAATAAATTAGTTCGTTATTAAACTTTAATTAAATTATAATAAAAATTGAATTAAAGAAATTACACAAAAATAAGAACTTTTAAATAGTTAATTTAATATTAATATCGTTTATTTTTATAAATTTATATTTTATTTAAAAATAAAAACATTATCTTTTTTTCAAAACTATATAAAACCATATCATAACATCTATATAGACAAAGAATAAAAAAAAATTAAAATCAAGATATATCTTGTTACATTGTATAAATACCCTTTAATATATATATATATAATAATGATAGTTAAATATAATATATTATTCAATCGATTGGATTTTTAATATATTAATTAGTTAACAACTACTTTATCAATTAGTTTATTTGTATTTACTTAAATAAATATTTATGATATTTTAGAAAAAAATATAATCATTAAAAAATGAATAATGACGACTCACCCAGCTGGAGGAGCATATGTAATAATGATACTCAAAAACACATTAAATTTTTAAATTTGGAATTAAATTTGTAAAAGAAAAAAGAAAAATAGAAAAAGTCGTCTTCACACCCGCCGACGGCTCTTCCAAAACTCTCCTCAGTCCACCTTCTCCCTCCGGTCTCTCTCTCTAGATCGCATCTTTCCCTCCGTAAATCTTCCCATTTTTACTTCGATTGCATACTGATTATCAGCTGTAAGTGAAATTGGCCGTTAACCGATCGCTGTGCCGTTTCGGAGTTGGTGTTTTTGGATTAGGATCGAGAACCGAACGGGCAGGATCTAGAGTCAGAAACGCCTCTCTGCTGGAACTGATCGGAGTAGAGAGGACATGGCGTTGTCAGGTATGAGGGGTTTATCTGTCTTCATCTCCGATGTTCGTAATTGCCGGAACAAAGAACAGGAACGCCTTCGTGTTGATAAAGAGCTGGGCAATATCCGTACTCGCTTCAAAAATGAAAAGGTTAGTTAGGTTTTTTTTTATTCGATACTAATATACTCTAAGCTTTCTCTAGGTTGATGTAATTTTGTATTTGTGAAAAGTGCAATTTTTAATGTACACACTGTTGCATATTAGCTTTATATGGGTTTCTGAATGCGTAATTAGGTTCAATTTTAGGCTAAGTGAATTTTCGAGCTAGGTTTAGTTGATTTTGTTAGCTGTGCGTGTAATTGGAGTTAAGAGGACCGCTACCCCAGTTTCTGTTGCTGAGCTGAATTGCTTAGCAAGATGACTTTGAAGTAACTCAAATATGCATAATGCTTAAATTCGATAAGGAAATATCAAAACACTAGAGCAGACAAACTTGTAGACGAGACTAGGACATGAATTGGTGCTGCAATGTAGTTATGGCAAAATAACTTTCCAGGTCTCATTGGACTAACAGAAAATTTGGATGCTTGGTGTAATGGGAATGGGTGGGGGAAATATTGTGGATATCTTTTCAGTTCCCAAGGGTTGCCTAAGATGTATATGTTTCATGCCTTTGGAATTGGGACCAATACTGAAAAAATGACGCATTGCTACTAATGTTTATTATATTTCCATCGCAAGGAAAATGCAAAAATAACCACTTTCGTTTATCTGGTAATAATTGAAACACTTCTATTTCTGAAACTTGTAAGCTTTTGTTCCAAAGTCATTGCAAAATCTCTATGATTTTGTTGGTTCATAAGATTTACTTTAGTTTGAAAGCTAAAATTCAAAAAGTAAATATTCTCTCTATTTTGTATCGTTGGAATACTACTTTAGACATTTGACTTCTTCTTAAACATTTATGTTAATATGTCCACAGGGTCAATTTTTAGCAACTTTTAAGGGGTGGATGGGCTAAATAACACGAGTGGATGAACCTGCAACATGCATTAGGGTAGTGTGTGATCTTAAATTTCAACAATTTTTAGGGGTAATTTGAACCGGATGTTTGTGTAGCAAGTGCATGCTTTATGTATTTAGATGTTCAGGCACCGAAAAGCAACACGTGCATATGGTTGATGGTTGTTAAACTTCAAAATATAAGATGGATATGTTGCCTCATGAGCATATCATGGATTAGAAACAGGATATCTAAAAGGTATCTGTTGCAAGAATTGAGTGGAAATGGGCTTATTTGATATAGTTTAGTCAATATGTTATCCTCTTGGGGATGAATAACTGAAGAATGGTGATGCTCACCAAGTGGAAGCCAGAAGGAAGGATAACGGTAGCCACAAATAAGATGAGTTGTTGGGTAGAGGAATATTATAGATTAAGTTACAATCTAAGGACTTGACTTGGACACAAAAATGTGGATAATGCAATGTAAATAGCCAAACCCATCTAAGCTAGGTTCTAACTAAGGAAAAATGGCGACATGTGGTAAGCTGCAAAAATAGAAATAGGACTACTTCGTAACATAAGATAAACTAATCCGCCTGAGAGGAGGAGGCTTAGGAGAACTGCTCATGAATGAAGTAAACTGACTCCTATGAATTTCTGCAAATTCTCTTCGATGTTTATCTTGGAAGAGTTAAAAAAGAAAATAATGAAAAAGAAAAGGCTATGTCATAACTACGTAGTTAACATGCCAAAGTAGTAGCCATCACTAAACATTCACCTTACAAATTTCCTTGTGTCATGCAATGATATTTTTTCCTTCATGTTCTTTTCCTTGGTGTATGTAGAAGCATTTGTATAACTTGTTGCACCTGTGGCTTTTCATGTTCCAAATTCCCCATTTGTGTTATTTCTTTTGACCACATGCTTTCTCTTATCAGAAACCTAGCAGCATGATTTATTTTGGCTAAACAAAGGAATATTTGTAGTCAAGACTTGGCTTGACTCTGGGGGATTGCAAATTATATTGTGTTACTTTGCATGATTTTATGGGGTAGCAAGAAATTGTATATCAAGAGTGCTGATATAATTCACAAAAGCCAAAGAAGATGATGAAATGAGGGGTTGTCACTAGTCATAGTAGCTTAGTTTGAGGTTGTAAGGAGTAGCAACCGGCAAGGTTTTGTTTGTATGAGATCTACTGAAGGATAATTGTGAAGAGGATATAGAGCCATATAGGAGTTTGAACTTGAAGACATCATCCATTAAACTACGATTATGGTGAATACTACAAAATCTTAAAAACCATATCTGCATTTAAGACATGCATTGAATTTCTTTTTGAATTTTATGCTTATTTTTGTTGTTCTATTTTGCTTCTACCATAAAATTTAATTAAAAAATAGCTTCACCCTTTTAGACTACATAGAGGAGTTGTACCCCACTTATGACCTGCATGAATGATGTATGGCATATCATTTTTAAGGTCCAGCAACGAAGTAGATGATTGGCATCTATGTGCACCGGAAGAACCTATATAACTTGGCAGTTAGCAATAAATTCTTCTTAACCAAGAACGCGGTTATAGGTTATACAAGCATGCTTTAAACATGATGGTTAAATCCTTACAAATTCCCACTCTCTAGATCATTATTCTTCAAAATTGGAGATACTGTGACTTCCTGTTGGTAACGTGGAAGTATGAAAATAATCATCATTGTCTATAAGCAACTCTGCAAATGAAATTACTTGATGGGGTGGTATTCCAGTATAAATGTCAAAACTCTCCTACTTGTCTTCAGCCAGTGATCTTTTGTACTTGTTCTACTCACTCACAGGGTTTGACACCATATGAAAAGAAGAAATATGTTTGGAAGATGCTATACATATATATGCTAGGATATGATGTTGACTTTGGTCACATGGAAGCTGTATCCCTAATATCTGCACCGAAATATCCAGAAAAGCAGGTATGATACATATTCGTTGTTACGTGTAAATATTGCAGTTCAATTGATCTGCTCCGAAGTCTTTTAGGTTTCCCTTTTACTACTTATTTTTAACTTCTCCCAATGATGCGACTCCTGCAGGTTGGGTATATAGTGACATCATGCTTGCTCAACGAGAATCATGATTTTTTAAGACTAGCAATTAATGCAGTCCGTAATGATATTATTGGTCGCAATGAAACTTTTCAGTGCCTGGCATTGACACTGGTATGGATATAGTATAAACCATGATTTTGTAAAATCTACATATTTATTTATGTAAGCATGTGGCTTTTATTTCTTTTTGCTTTACACTTGCTTGATTCTCTACAGCCATCATACATAAGAATGTCAGCGATGTTCACACAGTCTCGACTTTGACCTACCGAGACCTAAATGTTACTAGTAAATATTTAGGAATTGTTTGCAGGATCCTTTAATGCTTAGGTAATACTCTAAACATTAAATACATTTAGTAAGAACTATATAAGAATCATGTATGTTATTTGTAGCTAAACAGATTCCTGTTTATGAATTGGCTATTAAGGTCGGTTAATATATGGCAAAAGTGGTTTTATAGATTCGCACATCCGTGAGGCTTTTAATTTAATTCCAATAAGCAGATTTATTAATGTCGGTTGAATATTACCAAACTCACCTAGAATATTTATTATGCAATATCCGAAGATAAAAGCTGGAAGCACTTTTTGGTGTTCTCTAGCAGTGGTATGAAGTACAAAAAGCAGAAGTCATAATGTAGTTCTTGAAGTTGTCTTCCAGCGTAATGATTTAATGACCTAGACTTTTGTTTGTATATAATGGTAGAATTTGACCTTGATGTACTGCCAACATGATGACTTTTACAATTAAGAAATGTTTTAATATTAATTTTTGTGCGTCCCATTGTTCTTCCTGTTGAGTTCTGATTGTAAAACTGTTACATTGTGCCAATTGTTTTTATCTAGATACATAAATTAGGATGCACTTGCAATCTCTCCCTCAAAAGTTTTCTTTTATCACTCTAGCATGGGCAAAATGTTCACTTTGTATCATAAATGTATGATACACATGCTAGAGAAAGAAGTTATTTTCATTTGAAAGTTAAAGAAATTTCGTTTCTTACAGGTTGGGAATATTGGTGGTAGAGAATTTGCTGAATCACTAGCACCTGACGTCCAAAAGTTGCTTGTAAGTTGAAAAAATGTGGAATCAGTTGTCTTAAAATTAAAATATGGTACTTACTCTGTTTACCTTAGATTTCAAGTAGTTGCAGACCACTAGTGAGAAAGAAAGCTGCCCTATGTCTACTACGGCTGTTCAGGAAAAATTCTGATGTTGTGAATGTAGATGGCTGGTATGCTTGTTTCTAGGATTACTGTTTCCTAATTTCTTTTAGCTTTTCCTCTGATTGTATTCATTGGCTCAAACTTGCAGGTCAGATCGGATGGCGCAACTATTAGATGAACGTGATATTGGTGTTTTGACATCATCAATGAGTCTTTTTGTTGCTTTGGTGTCCAACAACCATGAAGCATATTGGAGTTGTCTTCCAAAGTGTGTTAAAGTTTTGGAAAGGCTTGCTAGAAATCAGGATGTACCTCAAGAATATACATATTATGGCATTCCTTCTCCATGGCTTCAGGTTTGTGCCTGCATTTCCTTCAACTTCTTTTCATCAATAAGAGATCAATGATTGTCATGATCTGGTCTCTACGTCTGGCCTGAGTTTACAACCATATTCAGCAGTCTTGCTTAGGACAATTTCAAGGGTCACCTGTTCCTATGGCACTAAGCCGTACAACACTGGGGATTGATCATTTAATGACCATTAGAAGACTACATCCCAAAATCTGAAAGGTCAAATGGAAACCTCACTTGAAGAAACTTGGTAATAACATGTCTAAACTGAAATATAACCCCTACAATATTTATTCTTCGTAACCAAAACAACTCTCATCACAAATTCGCTGGTCAGCCTTGATTACTTGCCGGAAGAAAAGCATAATGCAAGCAATTGCCCGATCTGGATGAAAAAGAACAATAAAATGTATCAGAAACGAAGTCCAATGAAGATGAACATTTAGTGTACCTCCAAAGGAACTACTTACAGAAAGAGTTAAGGTCGAGTTAAAAAAGGGTTGGTTTTCCTTTTGTTGCTGACAGTATTTGGTTGGTTTGACAGATTTGTTTTGTTGGTTTTTTGTTCTCGACTTGCTTCTGGTCTTTGGATCGTTTGGGTGTATCTTGGCTGATGTGATTTGATTGGATTGATAGATTTGGCTTCTATTTGTTTTTTCTTTTTGTTCCTTTATTCTCTGGATCTCGATTGTTTTCCCAATTTGTTCCTCAGTTTCTAATGGACTCCCTGGTTATTCACTTATTCTGCACTCTGATTCTGTGTGATTGAAATATGGGAAAGTGATTAACTCGTTATGAGAATTTTATGTGTTGATTGTCAAGTTGGGAATGATCGACATCTGGAGTGCTGGAGATAGAATTAGGATTATGGTTTTGTTAGCTTCTATTATGCTTATCTGTTTAGGCCCACAACACATAGTTGTATAATATATACGGGAGTTTCTTTTCAGTGATAGAAGTTGGATTAACCATAGACATTTGCATAACGATTCTAGATTGGACCTGCTCAAAATTATTCTTAGTTGATGCTCTGTGTCATCCAGAATGAGATAAGTCTTTAGGGGGTGATTTATGCAACATATCTATTTTAATGCTCATTTGGTTTGTGCAGGTCAAAACAATGAGGGCCCTTCAGTATTTCCCAACTGTTGAAGATCCAAGCACAAGAAGAGCATTGTTTGAGGTATATTTTAGTAAAAAATCTTCTCTCTCCAGGTTAAGTGCTAGATTAGATGAGTAAGATGACACTGATAAAGCTTGTCTGTGGTGGTTAGGTTCTACAACGAATACTCATGGGAACAGATGTGGTGAAAAATGTTAATAAGAACAATGCTTCTCATGCTGTATTATTCGAAGCTCTTGCACTTGTAAGTTCCTTCCACATCTCAACCATTAAAACTTGAATGAAGTTCAACTGCTTGATATGCCCAAAGTCTTGCTGAATTCTCGAAAACTTCACCTCTCCAACTTCGTTACTACTTACTAGTTTAGATCAACCCCTGTAATTTTTCAAGATCCAAATGATATTCATAGCATTTTTTCTCCGAGGGTCAAATTTATCTATAATCTTGGGATGATTTACCCTTTTATGGATCAAATCTGCCTGCAAGCAGCCAAAAAAAGAAGCTTATGCTAAAAGTCTTATATTTGGTATTGGCATTCACTGGCCTAAGCTTAATGTTGCTTCAACCATCCATTGAAGGTCATGCATCTTGATTCTGAGAAGGAGATGATGTCTCAATGTGTGGCGCTGCTTGGGAAATTTATAGCTGTGCGTGAGCCGAATATCCGGTATTTGGGTCTGGTAAGTTATTAAGCAGTGGAGTGATACAGACTTTCCTCTTCCTTTTTATCCTTGTAGGTGCACTGACTCAAAGGTCAAGGCTTCTAGTATAAAGTATATCTTATTTTTTCTCTCGGGCTACAAATCTAATGGCAATAGCTGGTGAAAATGGCTCGTGCAGGAGAATATGACTCGAATGTTGATGGTTACAGATGTTCATGAGATAATCAAAAGACATCAAGCACAAATTATCACCTCACTGAAAGATCCTGATATCAGGTGAGACTTGCTTGTAATCACGTCATTTTTTGTAATGTTTTACATTTTGTTAATGATATCTTCATCAACAACAAAAAAAAAATACTTCCCTTTGCAGTTTTGTTCAAAGTGTAAACTTATTGCATCTACATTATTTTTCTTTATGCAATTTTCAGCCATATCCTGTTCTACTTCATTCAGATTGAATTGCTCAGTTGCATCTCAAGTTCTAGTATAGGAACATGATGCCCCCAAATTCCCAAATGTTGCTTGTTACAATAGTGCTGTCTTTCCAAATAGACAATAAACTATCCTGGATATACATTTTGATATGAATAGCAAAAATTCTTCTACCTACATAATCATTTGGGGAATCCCTGAGACAATCTCTTCAAAAATGGGATCCTTTGTTAATGTGTTGATCACAATTTCTCGATATTTCCCCATACTAATCCACCTCTCTCTAATTAGTACTTGTAATCTTTTCCAACGCATGTTGTCATCATGGACACCAATACACCATAGATATCCAAATTATGTGATTTTACTTATGTTTATATTCATATCCACGTATGTGCTTAGACATCACTTTGCTAATAGATTTCTTTGGTAAATACTGTGATCTTGTATTGATGTAGACTAAGATGGCATAATTATTTCACTCATATTTGTTCATATCCTTTTGATATCTATGCACCGTCGAAGAGGAGACTTTGAGAGAAAGAGGGTACATTTTTGTAGTTTGTTATTAGTGGGATAAAAGTGTTGTTATGATGAATACTCAGGGTCCATCTCTTAATGTTGGGTGCTCATCTGCTGGGAGGGACTCAGTAGGAACGGGATTGATATAATGGCTATCACTTTGAGATTACGTTTTGCTCTTGGGTCTGTCATATCCTTTTTAATGAGAGATCTAAAATTTCTATGTTTGCTTCCTGTTTGACTCTCTCAAATTCAGTATCAGGAGACGATCTCTGGATCTTCTTTATGGCATGTGTGATGTCTCAAATGCCAAAGACATTGTTGAAGAATTATTGCAGGTACCCAATTGCTTGACTTAAACCTTCTCCACTCTAGTATGGTATTGAAGTGTGAAGAGTTGTTATCATATGGTATTGAAGTGATTGTGAAAGCAAATACATAATGCCACTGACACACATCTGGTTTTAGTATCTTGGCACAGCAGATTTTGCAATGCGTGAAGAGTTGGCACTGAAGGCTGCTATTCTTGCCGAGAAATTTGCCCCTGATTTATCATGGTATGCGGTTCTATCTAATTAATCACATCTAAGGTCATAACTGTAAAATTGTCCAGTTGACTCGGGCAGGTCTTGTCAATCACATCTAAGGCCATAACTGTAAAATTGCCCAGTTGACTCGGGGATGAATATGTAGTAAAATTTCATATGGCTCTGTAAAAGGTGTTCAAAAGAAGATGGTGATGATTTCAGAAGCACAGATTGCTTGGGTGAGGTTAGGTCTTGTATAACAAAATCTCAAGTACCGCTGAATTCGATTGAATTCTTTACGGTGGAAGATTCAGAACTTTATGTTCTAGTCGGTTATTGTTAATTTAAGTATTTGTAGGAAAAGTTTAATTGCTAGTGGGATGCTATTATTGTCCAGGAATGTATCTCTGAGAATAGCTTGATATGTAAAACTACAACCCACCTTGTACAGAACCACATTCTGAATATAAGTTGTACTTCCAATATGTATTAGGATTTTGAACTGAAATGAGGCCCTTTTCACTTTTTGGCTTTCCAACTCATGAGATATTGTCACCTGCCATTGTTTTATGATTTTCCCCCAAATGAAGATATGAAGTGTTGGCTTTTTGAATTAACATCCGAGTGCCTACCTGCACTCGGTTTTTCTTGGCTATTTAAATTACAAAATTGGAAAAGTGCTTTACATAATTGTAAAACATCCAAATATGTTATTATATTGCAGAACTGCACTTCACATAATGTTGAAGTATAATCTTAATAAAAAAATATGACACACACACACACACATATATATGTATGCATGTATGTGTGGGGAAATGCATCTTTTTGCCATGACATCATGCTGATTGATGAGACATGCCACTTGTTGAGCTGAAACTAGCATTGTGGAGAAACACATTCGAATCTGAAGGTCTTAGATTAGTACTAAAACCAAGGAGAAGAGGTGCTTTAGTGCTTTTGATTTTTGAATAGGGAGATGAACGACGTGATGAGCATGTTTCTTGTATTTTCTGTTCACGATCAACATACTTAGTACTTACTGTAGTGCCACCAAAAGACATGTACGCAATGTGAGTTTTAACATCTCTTTCCAAAAAAAATGTAAATTTTAACATCACAACATGTACACAGAACGAGTGTTATAAGAAATTATTAGAGTATTAGACTGGTGTTAGGGTAGTTTGATAATTTCTATTGTTCTAGTCTAGTATAAATAGGTGTTTCATGTAATCTTTTTCATTCAATCAATACAATCACATTTCTCATTTGGGTAAAACATCTTTCTCGGTTGGATCTTCCACCAAGAGAAATCGTGAAGAACATCTCTGATTCTTACGGTTTTTCTTCTGGATCGTGTTATTTCTTCTCTGAAAGAAATGTAAAGTTATGTGATTCCCACACAAGGATGTGTACAATTAGAAATGAAGATATTTGTGAATAGGTTGTGGTGGCAGCAATCAAGGGGACACTAAATCAACACTGTTGAAGGTGGTTTGGTCATCTCCAATGTAGAGACCTTTGGAGGCACCAATTAGAACTTGTATGTTGGTGCAGGCATCAGGAGAGGTAAGGGTAGGCTAAGATTAACATGGGGAGTTGTGTGTAGAGATCTGAACTACTGGAAATACCAAATGGTTGTCCTTAGATAGAAAGCATGGAGAGTAGGATCCATGTTCCAAATGTGTGGGAGTTCACCTCTTTGGGATAAGAGGCTTGTTGTCAATCACATATGGGAATTTGACCACTGTAAATATTAACACCTGTCTACATAAGCATTCTATAGTTGAATGCCGAAACATCTGTTGGAAGTTACAATAACATATTAAACTAGTAGTAATGTCACTGCTGATAGATAGAAAGACAAATTCTGTAAAGCAAAGAGAAGCCTAGAGCCTATTTCTTTTTCACGATTGCAATTAATCATAACAAAGGATGTTCAAATTTTTATTATATATGAAAAACAATAAAACTCACCTTTGGCGCAGGTGCCTGTGTTGTCTCACGGGAAAATATCATGTGAACATCGTAGGTGATTCACATGGATTATTTGGTTCTAATTTTTGACTGCTTTTGATTCTCTTGAATTTGAGAAACTTTGTCTTTGGAACTTTATATTCTATACACAAATGTTCTGTTGGCCTTCGGCTAAACCTTCATCCTCTTACATATATGTATCTGTTTTTCACTTCCATAATTTACATTCAGGTATGTGGATGTTATACTCCAGTTGATTGACAAAGCAGGAGATTTTGTCAGTGATGACATTTGGTTTCGTGTTGTGCAGTTTGTGACAAACAATGAGGACCTTCAGGTACCTTGATATCTTGCTACTATCTGATATTTGGACATGTATTCAAGTCATTGTTAAGTTGTAGGACTCGCTCTAATCATATAATTTCATTAGCCTTATGCAGCACTCAAAGCCAGAGAGTATCTTGATAAGCCGGCCATACATGAGACAATGGTGAAGGTATGTAAACTTCATTTGTATTAATTTATTCTCTTTTATCTTGGATTCTAGCGTGGAGAATCTAAACTACAGAAATTTTCATGTTTGGACATTGTGTAAAGAAAAGAGATGCCATGGGCTGTTGCCACTGCCTAACTCGATCTGTCAGTATGTAGTAGTTTCATAGGGAGTAGGTTAGAGGTACACTTTCTGGGTAGCAAAGTCATTTTCAAATAATGGTAACATCTTTTACAGATTGGTCAGTTCTATATGTTAGACAAAATGACAGACTCACTGAGACATGTCCTATAGCTCTGGCGGCTCTCCTATACCAGTTTTTGATTCATCTTATTTTCTATGTTGCATTCTATATTTACGAATATAATACCATTTCTCCTCAAACTTGTCTGTCAAGGATTCGAGGTTTATCATTTATAGTTAAATCACTAGACCTTTGTATATATAAGGAGAATCTATGCATCAAATGTGTCCTTTTGGGGTTTGTAGTAACAACTTCAGTGATAAGTGAATATAAACATTTCAAAATTTGCTCTATTTTAGGGCATTTATATTCACTATCACAACTCATGTTCATATTAAGGTAAGCGTTAAGGCTAAGAATTTCTTTCCTTACCCATCAAGCACTTTAGAAATCTAAATTTTGTTCGCAAACTAGATTGAAACAGATAGTCCAACTTCTATTCTATTAGCTAAGATCAATTTTGAGACATGTCGAAATGGGGTTTCTTGGTTGAACAGGTTAGTGCTTATCTGCTTGGGGAGTACAGCCATCTTTTGGCCAGAAGACCTGGTTGTAGTCCAAAGGAGATTTTTAGCATCATACATGAGAAGCTTCCTACTGTATCGTACGTGTACCTTCTTGATTATGCTTTTATCCATGTGATTGTTATTGGGTAATCATCTAAGACCTGCTTATTTGTTCAGAACACCAACAATCGCTATTCTTCTTTCAACGTATGCAAAGATTTTGATGCACTCACAGCCACCGGACCCAGAATTGCAGAATCAAATTTGGGCAGTATACCACAAGTCTGTTTACAATTGCTTGAGATTATTTCATGCTATATTTATGAATTCACAGTCTCTTTAAACACAAATTCTCATCTCTTCAGATATGAAAGTTGCATTRATGCTGAGATACAGCAAAGAGCAGTTGAGTACTTTGCATTGAGTAGGAAAGGTGCAGCTCTAATGGATATATTAGCTGAAATGCCTAAATTCCCAGAGCGCCAGGTATATATATGGTCTGGATTTGTTCAGATATATATCCTTCAGCGTTTTCCTTACACTGGCAAAGTACTTTACAACAGTCAGAGCAAAAGGAGTCTCCTTTCACGACTACTGTCAAGTAGAGGGAGAAAGTGTTCTCATTCTAGCAAGGCAGTCATCAAAACATACAGCATAAATCACAAAACTAATTCAAATAAGAACTTCCTTTTGAAACTCAGTCTACTGACTATTGGGGCTTCTTAACTCTTCTGAAATCGGCTATACTATTAGTTTAGTTTGCTGGATGCACCTACACTCTGTTGGGCGCATTCATGGTGATTGTTTTTAACTTTAATGTTCTTTTTGAAGTCCTCGTTGATTAAAAAAGCCGAAGACACTGATGCTGATACAGCAGAGCTAAGTGCTATCAAGATGCGGACACAGCAGCAGGCATCTAATGCTCTGGTGGTTACCGATCAGCGCCCTGCAAATGGCGCTCCACAAGTGAGCCAACTTGCTATGGTTATGGTCCCTAGCATGAACGATGTGGTGAGTTTTTCTACACACTGGAAAATCACAGACCTTGAATAATTTTAGTTCTGGTTAGATATTGGTCTATAATTTTGTGCATTTACAGGATCATGCTTCTGTTGACCAACCGGTGACCCAGGCCAATGGGACTCTGAGTGTTGTTGATCCACAACCCTCTGCTCAGGATCATGCTCATGTTCGTTCTGCTGCTCCTGCTGCTGATATCCTTGGGGATCTTTTAAGCCCACTGGCTATTGAAGGCCCTCCTGGTGGATCTGCTCCTTCAGAGCAGAATAGTGTTTCTGGACATGAAGGTACACTTGGTGTGGATGATGCTTTAGCTCTTGCACCTGTTGGAGATCATGAACATACAGTCCAGGTACTTTCTTCTTCTTGCTTACACCCTGACTAACTTTATTGGTCTTCAATATCGTTTATCTGATTCTGAACCTTGTGTTATGCTGTTTTCAGCCAATAGGAGATATTGCAGAAAGATTTCATGCATTATGCCTTAAAGATAGTGGGGTGCTATATGAGGATCCCTATGTTCAGGTAATTCATTTTTGAGGGTTGAATTCAACAGTCAAGTATTGCAGCTTCTTGTTGTATCTGTTGCTATACCCAAAAGGATCTCAGGTAAATAAATCTTGCATTGCAATTTTTGGATGTTTTCCCAGATTGGCATCAAAGCAGAATGGCGAAGTCACCAGGGTCGGCTTGTCCTTTTCTTGGGAAACAAGAATACTGCTCCACTTGAATCGGTACATGCAGTGATATTACCTCCATCCCATTTGAAGCTGGACCTCTCGCCAGTACCAGAAATTGTACCTCCACGAGCACAGGTCAGACAGCACTGGTGCTTGATGCCTGGTTGACCAGTCGCACATTGTTCTTTTTTATTATTTAATCTTGGTGTTTTCGTAAGTCAGTTTTCTTTGTAATTGTTTAGGTTCAAATCCCACTTGAAGTAGTAAATCTCCGCCCAAGTAGGGATGTTGCTGTTCTCGACTTCTCCTACAAGTTCGGTACCAGTTTGGTATGTAGTTATGTTTTTTGTGCTATTCTTCATCTAAAAAGGTTTTGGTGTAAATGGTATTTACTTTTTCAAATTTCCCTTGACACAGGTTAACAATAGACTTCGCCTTCCTGCAGTCTTGAACAAATTTCTTCAGCCAATTCAAGTATCTGCTGAGGAATTTTTCCCCCAGTGGAGATTGCTAACTGGACCACCTTTGAAACTTCAAGAAGTGGTTCGTGCCTTTTGCATGTGTTAAATAGTATATTTTGGCTGTGTCAGCTGTTAGGCTACATTCTAACAAGCATGGGTTTTTTTAGTACCAACATAAGACAAACAGAGGGGTTTGGAATTCCGTTAACTAACAAGAACCATAATGGGGGTGCAAATGCACATGTTGCACGGGCGGGGAAGTTAGTGGAGGCACGGCATTGTATGCTAATACTTTAATTTCCAATGGTGCTTTAAATTCCATTTTGTTATAGTTTGATAGCACGTATTCTTCCATCGCCGTTACATCATTTTTAGGATATTATGTGATTTTTTCATCATAAAATTGAACAGGTTAGAGGTGTGAGACCGATGTCATTGGGAGAGATGGCAAATTTGTTCAACAGTTTGAGGTTGATGGTTTGTCCTGGACTGGTAAGTTCTTTATAGTATTATGAAGACAATATTCCTTTAGCATTGGTAATATAGACGCACTCTGTGTTCCTTGCTTCAATTTTGCTTTCTTTTCAGGATCCAAATGCAAGTAATTTAGTTGCAAGCACAACCTTCTATTCTGAAAGTACACGAGCCATGTTATGCCTGGTAAGTATTTATATAATTTTAGCTAATTCTTTTTCATGGATGGTATAATCAGTGATGCAAAGACCAATGCTTATGCCATATATCAGATAGTCACACTTCAATTTTACTTCTGTGAACTCAAATCACCCCACCCCCATAAACTTAAAGAAGAGAACACGTACACCTTATCATGTCTAAATTTCAAGTCCCGATTGAAACCAATCCAATAAAGAAACAAATCTATTCAACAAGCAAAAAAGGAGAGGCAAACCTCCTGGCTGTCTCTGCACTCCTACCTCCTTTATCACTGAGCGGTCATTCTTTCTTTATAAAGATGGTTTTACGCTTTTCTTTATTTGCAATTGAGAAGAAGGAATTCATATTGGAATGACTTATTTTTGAGGATACAATATCTACACCCCCTTTTCTGTATTGATTGCAGTCCTTTTAACTTCGAATGTCAAACATGTATTTAACAAAGTTATTGTTCTTTTTTGTTCTTCTACTGTTTTAACAACGATTTTTTGGTACTTACCACTTGTTTTATTCATATGAATCTTAAATTAGGAAGTAGTTTCTTTGACATTATAGTCAATATGGGCAACTGAAAGAAAGGAGTATTTGTTATTATATAATTGTCAAGCATAAAGCTTGGTGGTGTTTGGTTCCACGGAGATCATTGGTTCTATTGCCTCACCTTTCTTTCTCCTCTCGACATCATAGTTGTTGCTCTAGGCATCACCATCTGTTATTACCTTTTGACAAAGTAAAGCTTTTTGTTGTAATCAAGTATTGGTTTTAAACTCTGCGACTCTTCTCTTTCGCAGGTAAGAATTGAAACCGATCCAGCTGACAGAACACAGCTCCGCATGACAGTGGCATCAGGAGATGCCACACTCACGTTTGAGTATGTTTTCAGTTTTGGATTTCATTTCAATACGAGAAAAAATAAGGGTTATTTAGCTAAATGAACTCCCGACAAGTGTTTTTAAATCCATAACTTTCTGACAAGTTTATAGGCGTTCTTATCTATAAGGGATCATTCAAGTATATAACCTTAATTGAGATTTTAATTAAATTCACGACCTCCTGGCCTGTTAAAGATAAAAACAGCCTCATGCTCATCAAAAGGTCATGGATTTAATTAAAATCTCATTTAAAGTTATATGCTTATAGGGTTAGGTTTAGGGGAAAACCACACAAAAATAAAAAACTGAGAAACACCCTGGTAACCATTCAATAGTACAGTATGCACATGTGCATTCAAGTAATTTGTCCAATATGCACCTGTGCATAACATGCACACGTGCATAGGTTCATAAAACATCTCCAATTACTTGTATGCACATGTGCATACCGTTCAGATGAATGGTTACCAAGGTGTCACTCAAATTTTCATTTTTTTGGGAGTTTCCCCTGAACCTCACTGTTTACTTAAATATACCTGTCCTTTTTGTCTACATAATGAGCGATGGTATTCTCAAAACCTGTCAGAAGGGTGTGGATTTGAAAAAAGACCCTGCCAGAAGGTCATTTTAACCAAAGGACAGGTGTGTACACATGGAGACATAATGTAAGTACATGTGTAAACAGGTTGAAGGAATTCATCAAGGAACAATTAGTTAGCATTCCTACAGCTGCAAAACCTTCTGCACCTGTGGCTCAGCCAACTACTCCAGCCATTGCAGCATCAGACCCGGGGGCTATGCTCGCTGGTTTGCTGTAAAAAACTTTGAACAGAATATCATCAAATACAATCCCATTGTCAACAAACTGTAAAATGGTTTATATTAGAAGCAGGCAATGATACAAACAAGCGTGGGCTGGCGGCGGGATTAAAAGGTAAGCTTACAAACGAGCGGCATAGCAATAGAGTTGGATTTGAGAGGGGTTTGATGAGTGGGATTTTTTTCAGGTTGTGTTATTAGGTCATGTTTTCTTTCTCATTTTTGGTGGTGAGGGTTTATCTGTTTATATAAGTTTTTTTTTCGGTCTTTTCCTTCGGTTAGTTTTCAACATTTACCTTTGATATTTATTTAAGGGTCATGTTGCAATTGGATCAAATTGGTTGTGTAATATGAATAGGATGTGAAAAATTGCCAAAGGGTTGAAGTTGACTGTAACTTTATAATTGCATTTGGTTGCCGATTGATTTGTAGTTTTGATTTGCACCTTTTATGTGGATGTGTTAATAGAGATAGAAGCAACTGCCACACATCCCCCCTAAGATATACAAAATTCCTTCAAGTACAAGTAAATTTGCATAATTCAACACTTTTTTTTTTTTACCAAATAACACATATGGGGATTTGTAAAAACAAGTATAAACAATTTTGTGATATACATGTGAAAAATATATTCTGTTAAAGTGAATTTATTTCATCTGTCATGCTGTCATATGATCTCAAAAAATCATATAAAATAAAATTTGACTATGCCACCACATTATCGAATTATTAGAAGAATAACTATCATAATGAAATAACTTCTCTTCTTATTTTGGGTAACCGTAGATATTTGATTTGAACATAATATTTTCACAAAATGTATACTTTCTTCGACATTTTAGATATCGACCATAAGTTTTGACACACAATTTTTTTTCCAAATATTTGTATTTACTCATATATAGAGAATTTTGTGAACATCTAAAACTTTCACATTTAAAAGTTCGAACATATATTTCTGAAGAATCTTATCAAAATTAATGTTCAAAATTCGGAGATATAGTTAGTGATGAAATTTAAATAACAGTATCTTATCATTTTAACGACAAAAAAAATATGGTCAATAAACATTAGAATAAAACTTTGGACAATATCCGATGAATTATTTTTCATTTCACTTAAATTTTAATTTGACTTAAATTTTTTTATGTATACAAGACTTTATTGTAATCAAATCAGTTTTTAAGATTTGGATCAAATACAAATTAGTAAAATGCATTAAAATATAATAATTTTTTTGGTATCCTGATTATCATAATAAATAGTTTTTTTTTTTCCAAATGAAATTTCGATTTTTATTTTATTTTAGTAAATGTGCTATTAATATTGAAATATATTTGTTTCATTTTGTGACGTAACCACCCCTCCAGTTTCAGTATATTATTTTTCATCCATATGATTTGTTAAGTTATGATTTTCGTCCTTATAATTTAGAAATTATGATATTAATTTCTACGATTTGGAGTTATTATTATTTTCGTCCATTTACCTAACTCTTATCTTTAAATACATGAATAAAAAAAAGCAAAGAATTGTAAATACAGGGATTTAAACAACAATAAATTATACAGAACAAAAATTGCAATGAATTTTAATCAGTAAGGACTAAAATGATAAGTTTTAAACCACAGGGACTAAAAGCAACAGATATTTTATTCTTTGTTTATATAGCTAAAGGGGAAGGAAAAAAGGAACCAATTAACAATGGCGGGAAACCTATCGAACATCCAGACGGAAGTCCCGCGGAGGCTTATCAAGCCCTAAAACCCTGTTCTTCTGACAATTCTACTTCGATTTTAGCATGCTGTAGACGAGAAGTACACAGATTTATGATCCATTGGCGCGTATTTAATCATTCTGTGTCTTTTAGGGTTAGGGTTTAGGGAAATCTTTTCCCAATTACAGTCAACATTTTGTAATGGGGAATAAAATCACCGATGAACTAATCGAAATGGTTCGATCCATCGTAGGCCACGATTATTCCAAGATGGATGTAGTCAGAGCCCTTCACATGGCGAACAACGATGCCACTGCCGCAATTAACATAATTTTTGACACCCCAAGTTTCAAAAGATCGGAAGCCCCAAGGAGCCCAAAAGTTTTGAGTCCTAATGCAACTGCAAAGACACAAGATGCGGTTAGGAATTCAAAAAGGAACGGTGTCAGTACTGTAGATGATGAACCAAGTTTAAGCAGGTCAGTGGAGCTTACAGTTGACAAGGGAAAGGAAGTCGTGAATAATCTAAATGCGGGTTCAGATTTGAATGGAAGCAGTAAGTGGTGGTTTGTAGGTTGTTGTGGAGTGATGGGGTTGTCTACTTGTAAAGGGAGGAAGATAAAGGCCGGTGATCAAGTGAATTTTACGTTTCCACCGGAAAAATGGTCGAGTGGGCCCTCGCCAGGCAGGTTTGGTGGCGGCGGCCGTGGCAGGCAGCCTACTGCATGTTCAGAGATTGTGAGGTTTTCTACATTAGCTTCTGGGGAGGTATATATCTGTGCCTTTATTTATTTTTTCTGTTATGTGGTCCAGTTGCTATGAACAAAGCATTTCTTGTGCTGTTGAGTAAGATATCAGAAAACATAAGGTAGATAAATTCTATGAGACCATGTAGAGATGCTTGAAGAGTATTACTCTAAATGGTTTAAGTATTTATATATCACTAATAGTTTTTTATGGCATCATAAATGCTTCAGATGATTATACTCCCCTATACCAAAATTGTGCTGCCTGTTTGGTGATGTACACATTTCTTTATTTAGTTATTTGTAATTAATTGTTCCTGAAGCACTGATGGTGGTCTTGGGCAGATTGGTCGGATCCCAAATGAGTGGTCTCGATGCCTTTTGCCCCTTGTTAGAGATAAGAAGGTTCAGATTGAAGGTTTTTGTAAATCTGCTCCTGATGTCTTGGGGCTTATGGATACCATTAATCTAAGTGTCAGGTATGCTTGTGGTGTATTACCTAGGATCACCTACTTCATTGGTGCTTTACTTTGATAATGCCTTTTTTGGGCTAGTATTGAGCATTTGAGGTTAATATATGTGTATGTTTGTTTCAACAGTGTTTACATCAACAGTTCTATGTTACACAAAAGCCATAAGACCTCTCTCAAAGTGCCTAGCAGTTCCATTGACGAAACAGCCATCCAACCTCTTCCAAGCTTGTTCCGGTTACTTGGACTTGTTCCTTTCAAAAAGGTATACATTTTCATAATTTCTCAAAGTTTCCTTGTGGAATCAGGGACAGTTAATTGATATAATATAACACTTGATATCCTCTAATTAAAAGGAGAATATCAAGGTTTATGGTCTAATGTTTAATGCTGTAGTGAAAATTCTCATCATTGGTTATCTTTGATCGTAATTAGGCAGAATTTACACCTAGTGACTTGTATACAAGGAAGCGACCTTTAGACATAAAGGTATGTTACTTTTTGCAGCATCTAGTTATGTTTACAAGACATGGATTATTCACTCTTACATATGCAGGACAGTTCTGGTGTTCCTGCTCCATTGTTAAATGCTAGCAAAACTATAAACTCATCTTTAAATGTAAGTAAAGTTGAAACTGAAGAGACAATTTCAGATAATGACCTTGACAATATTGTTGGTGTTGCAAATGGCTCTGAGTTAGAGGTATTATTTTGAATTCAGTTATCATAATTATCTTAGAAACGTCTATGCATTAACAAACACGATGAAAGCGTCTATATTCTGTTTTTTGTTGTAGGAAATGGAACCTCCTACAGCTCTATTGTGTGATCTCCGCCCCTATCAAAAGCAGGCACTTCATTGGATGGTTCGTCTGGAGAAGGGACCATGCATCGATGATGCAGCTACAACTCTTCATCCATGTTGGGATGCTTATCATCTTGCAGACACGTACCTTTTCTCATGCACTTCAAGTCACAATGCATTGCTTGATAGATAATCCATCACATTAGCTATAATCTTTTTGTTTATTATGTGTTTTAATTTGTTTTTTTTCTTCTTTGCATGTAGGAGGAAATTCATAGTCTATGTGAATGCATTTTCTGGAGAAGCGACAACAGAATTTCCTAGCATCCTTCAAATGGCCAGAGGAGGAGTATGTTCCTGCCTATAATTGCGTTGTTTGCCATATGTTATTACTTTTGAGATATATGGTTGATTTGACCTGATGATACATATGAAGATTTTGGCAGATGCTATGGGGCTTGGAAAGACTATCATGACCATATCACTCCTCCTTGCTCACACCGAAAGAGGTGGAGCATTGGGTAGATACGCCAACAGTCAGGCATGCAGTGAAAGTAATGAAGTGGGCAATGGCTCAAATCAAACTTCATCATCTCCAAAGAAACCGTCTAAGTTTTCCGGTTTTGATAAGCTTAGAAAGCAGAAACAGGCGCTCATTGGTGGGGGGAATCTTATTATATGTCCTATGACTCTTATAGGCCAATGGAAGGTAAAACCTTGTGCTGTTCACATTGTTAAGTTCGTTAATTGCAAAACTTGTAGGGAATAATGAACGCTCTAGAATTGAATGTTTGTGGACATTGCTGATAGGCAGAGATTGAAACTCATGCTGAGCCAGGGTCTTTATCTATTTACGTTCACTATGGGCAAAGTCGACCAAAAGATGCCAAAATATTAGCTCAAAGTGATGTCGTGTTGACCACCTATGGGGTTGTAGCCTCAGAGTTTTCATCTGAGGTAAATGAGAACAGTTTCTGTTTTTCTCTTTTCCTACCAATGAATCTTTTCACGAGAAGATGTGAAACTGTATATTTTATTTTCACACTATATTTGTTTGTGGTAGAATGCTGAAGAACATGGTGGGCTTTATTCTGTGAGATGGTTTAGGGTGGTGCTTGATGAGGCACATACCATAAAATCTTCTAAAAGCCAGATTTCCATGGCTGCAGCTACCCTTGTTGCTGATCGTCGATGGTGTCTTACTGGTACTCCTATTCAAGTATGACTTGTTCTGTCAGCATCTTTTTTTTACCAAAGCATTATGTCTTGCTACTTGTCGACTTCTGTTCATGTGTTATTAAAGATACTCTCAAGGATATCATCTTTGATAATCACTCTTGTTGCATGCTTGTGTTTCATTCTGCATTATGGGGTTAGTTTCTTGTGAAGTATTTGTTTGTGTAGCATGTGATTATGTGTGTACTTTTTCATTTTGTGACAACTTTGGTGATGGAGGCTGTTCTCTTTTGTTTTAATATGCAAGATTGCCGTTTCTTGTAGAAGCGAGTCACTCGGATGTTTTGGGTTCTTTTTGCTAGATGATATATCATATAGCCATCTGTTATCTTTTATTTATTCATCTTTCACGTCTATTTCAGGTTCTGATAATATAACTCTCATGAATTGCCCCAGATTTTCTGACATGTTATATTTGTTTTTAGAACAATTTGGAAGACATTTACAGTCTTCTTCGCTTCTTAAGGATTGAACCATGGGGAAGCTGGACGTGGTATGTTTTGGCTTCCTTTTGTCTTATTATGTACCTAATTTGTGTTACGAGTGGGATATTTTTATACTACAAGGTTCAAATTTCATTATCACATCATGAGTTCTTAGGTTATATCACTCCCTTATTTCCGCATCACATAGATATCTGAGTCTAGAGAAGTTTATCTGGGAATATAAATTTAATGGAAACAAATTTTAACGATTACTTTATTGATGTTGCTTTTCTGGATTTGTTTGTAGACTTTATACCAAAAACTCATTAGTAGTCAAAAAAAGAATTTCTTGCTAGCATTTGGTAAAAGTGTAACAAATGACTAATGGGAGGAGACAACTTTCTCATGATCTATATAGAAAAATTGAAGAAAAATTGAAGTGGATCTACGACTTAATCATGATTCATGAAATTAGCATAACTATCCTCTATTAGATAGGATCCCCAATTATGGGATTTATGAATCATGCAGAAAAGTACATAGTGTGGATCACTGGATTAGGAATTTAAATGGCAATCCTCGGGTTGTAAATAGCCTTACTGTATTAGAGCTTGGTATTTTTTTTTCTAATTTATGTTATTGTTATAGATGCCATTATGTTAAAACTTTACATATGAAATTTTTTGCTTAGAAATTCCGGTGATGACATTGATGTGAATGTCTACTGTTTTAGCAATTTTGGTTCATTTCATTGGAGTTTCTTTGTTTGCCATAGCTAACTATCATTACTGAGTGCTTTTACAGTTTATTAGCAACTCTATTCAACTGAGCATGATTTATTCTAGTTCTTTTAAGTGTCTTGGTGTGCTTTTGAGTTGCTTGAGTTGATGGCAGTTGTGTTGCTTTCTTATCTAAATAGGTGGAACAAGCTAATCCAGAAACCTTTTGAGGATGGTGATGCAAGGGGATTAAATTTGGTCCAGAACATTTTAAGACCGATAATGCTAAGAAGAACAAAGTTTAGCACAGACAGAGAAGGCAGGTTAGGAATTATAAGAATGGACCTTTTCTATTTTTTGCCTCTGCTTTCTCTTCTAGTCTTATCGATTAGTTGTATAGATTTTTTGACCAACTTCTTTTTGGTGGCAGACCTATATTAATTCTCCCACCTGCTGAGATGCAAGTAATATATTGTGAACAAACAGAAGCTGAAAAAGATTTTTATGATGCTCTCTTTAAGAGATCAAAGGTACTTGTCTTAATGGGTAAACTTTGTCGTCTTTATCCTGCATTGTGCCTTCTCTGCTATTCCATAATCTGCTTGTCTGTAATCTTAGGTGAAATTTGATCAATTTGTCGAGCAAGGGAGGGTTCTTCATAATTATGCTTCTATTTTGGAGTTACTTTTGCGTCTTCGTCAATGCTGTGATCACCCATTTCTTGTGATGAGGTAGGAAACAAACATGACATAGTATTTGGCAGCAAATAGTTAGTATATACGTATTAGAATCTATTGGGATCAGTATCATTCCAAGAATGTTATGGGGTTGAGCATATTTAACCAGAATAATTCTGTAATGAAATATTTTGCTACTTTTGTCAATTTGGTTAGAAATCAAAATTACTGACATAAAGACGCTGTATTTTATTATTATTTTACTTATTGAATCATGATTTTTTACCATTATTCTGGAATTTGTTCTTTCATGTATGACCAATCTGTAATTTCTGATGAGCAACTATGGTTTTGACAGTCGAGGTGACACTCAAGAGTTTTCAGATTTAGATAAGCTGGCAAAACGTTTTCTTAAGGGTGGTAAGGACACCATGGAAGAAGGAAAAGAAATGCCTTCTAGAGCTTATATACAAGAGGTTGTTGAAGAGTTAAGAAAAGGGGAGCAGGGAGAATGTCCTATATGCCTTGAAGCTTTTGAAGATGCAGTATTAACACCATGTGCTCATCGGTTATGTCGTGAATGTCTCTTATCAAGTTGGAGAAGCCTCAATTCGGGTCTCTGTCCTGTTTGTAGGTATCTTCTTGTCATGAAGCTAAGTCTTCCCTTCATTGAGCGTTAAAGTTTATATTTTTCTGGGTTGGATTAGATTGTTACATCTTCTGTTTTGGGTTGTGTGTGTATACCTAAGACGAGGATATCTCTATTTGGCAGAAAGGAGGTGAGCAAGCAGGAACTTATTACAGCACCAACTGAGAGTCGGTTTCGAGTTGATGTTGAGAAAAACTGGGTGGAATCATCAAAAGTGTCTGCACTGTTGTGTGAATTGGAAAATTTTCGCTTATCAGGCTCTAAAAGCATCGTATTTAGTCAGTGGACTGCCTTCTTAGACCTTCTACAGGTTCCTCTTTCTAGGTAATAATCGTCAATATTTTGAAATTTGTAAATGCTCTATGTGTCTATGGTCGGGCTCTTTGATCAAGACTTATAAACTGAACAGCCATTGCTATCCAAAAAATTATTGTACATATCAGTTCATGTATAATATACAATTTCTTAGCTGAAATTGGGGCGAAAGATATATGTCGTTAGTCCATGGACCGTGGTATATGTGCTATTTTTTTTTCTCATGTATATCCGAAGTTTTTTAAACATGATTACTGTTTAGTTAATGCAAGTTCACTGTCTCAGAGATTGAAGGAATTTTGGGGTCTAATACTTCTAAAACACGTTTCCAGGAATAAGATTTCATTTGCTCGTCTGGATGGGACTCTAAACCAGCAACAGCGTGAAAAAGTCATAAAGCAGTTTTCTGAAGAAAGCGACATTCTGGTGAGTTGCTTTTACCTTTTGGATTGGAATGCGTGAAATTAGAAAACGGGGTGGGGGGTATAATCATGCATTTCAATGATATTTTGAGCTTCACTTTTTATATGTTTGTCCGATACAGGTATTATTAATGTCATTGAAGGCTGGAGGAGTTGGAATCAACCTGACAGCAGCATCTAATGCATTCGTCTTGGTCCTCACCTATGCATCCATTTGCTTATATATTGTTTTTTGGCTCTATAACAACATATAAAATATAAAACAAAGCAAGTGGGTGGTTATGGCACTGATATTTTGCAAAATGGGATACTTATCTCCATCCTCCAGATTACTCCATCTGTCCAAAATAAAAGTGAAAAAGACAGTTTTTAGAAATGTGTAATTATTACACTTTTTAGTCAACTAAATGACAATTTTATCCTTAATAATAGAGGGTTAACATATTCCTCCATCTCATAATCTAGGTAGAATTGGAAAGTACAACACTTATTTTTGGACAAAATAAAATAGAATTGTGGACACTTTGAATTGGAGGGAGTAATTCATATTTGGTTCACTATTATTCTCCCTGAACTTCGATCTATATATAGGCCCAAAATCATACAAAAACTTCCTACAAGTTAGAAACTCTATGAACTAACATAAAACACACATATTTAACTTTCATATTTATCTTATTAATTATCTTTATTATTTTATTAACCGTTTCCTAAAAGAAATTTTTTTGCTTTCCTTTTGAAACAGCATCAGTGTTGTTTCATTGATGAAACAACACATTGGTTGATCTGTATTGATCCGTTTTAGTAATGCAGTGTCATTTCACTGATGAAACAGCAGATTGGTTGATTTGTATTGATAATATAGAGTTGTTTCACCAATGAAACAATACTTGGGGTTGGTCTGTTTTGAATGCATAGTCGTTTCACGAGTGAAACATTACATCAATTAGGTGATTTCAAATGGGGAAAGTCGAGTTCTCTTAGGAAACGGTTGATAGGATAATTATGGAAGTTAAATGAGCAGTCTATATTGGTTCATAGAGTTTTTAACATATATATGCCATTGCTTACTCTGTACATTGTTTCATTCATCATTCTTATTGCCTTGTGTGGTCGTACCAACATGATAGAAAAATCAAGATTCTGTTTCGTTTCTGGTTTTCTCACGTTTTTAACCTTAGGATCCTTGGTGGAATCCTGCTGTTGAGGAACAAGCCGTCATGCGCATCCACAGGATTGGACAAACAAAAAGTGTTTCAATCAAACGTTTTATTATGAAGGTATACCCTATGTTCCTGCTCTTATTTCCACACACGAAAGCCTGAAATGTTCTTTTTGTTTGTGTTTACTGTTTACTGGCTTGCCTGTTCCACTGCCATCTTTATAAATAAATAAAGGGTATTTCAAGATCTTTAGCAGATGATCAAACATTTTTACTTAAAAGTACGAGTGAAGTTAAAATTTTGGTCATAATCTTTTCTTGAAGGTGCATCTTTGATATTGCATGTTTTAGGAAGCCAAATAATAAGATACCGGCTGCATCATCTTGTTTCCGTATGTATTAAGTGTAGATTAGAAGTAGATTATCAACTCGTTAAAGGTCGCTTAAATATGTAGGGAACGGTTGAGGAACGAATGGAGGCAGTACAAGCACGTAAACAGCGGATGATTGCTGGTGCCTTAACAGACCAAGAGGTCCGAACTGCACGTATTGAGGAACTTAAGATGCTTTTCACTTGATTCCATATCAAATTTACCAGTCGGCTAATTTCGATTCCCGTAGCTGGTCAACTTTTGTTGAACCTGCTTTAGTAGAGAGAGATGGATAGATAACAGGTGAAGAATGGGCAGTTGCAAGTAAAACCCAGTATACAAATTGAAGATTAATGTTATCAAGTTCTAGTTTTGCTTTGATATTGACACCTAATACTTTTCAGTTATGATTTATGATGGTGTAGATTTTATATTTTACTTTTGTTTTTGGATCTTGAATTGTTTTGTTTATGATACATTTTGTATAGTTGAATGTATGTAACTTTTGTCAATTTTGAGGTAAAACAATTAATTTGTGATACAATTAGATATTAATTATTGAAGTGGTATTGGCCAATCTAAAGGCTCCATTATACATACCTGAGATGTAAAGTATTAAACATTTAATATTTATAGAACTATTTTAATCATTAGCAAATTACTGACACTACCATTTGTAATATCCTTGGACATATAAGATATTGTTTGTTTTGTCCATATTTGGATTCATGGTTTTTTATAACGTAGTCGATTGAGGAGGCATCTAGTCTCTTATAAAACAATCTTAGTTCTCTTTCTCAATTGATGTAGGATCTTATAATTCACCTCTTTTGGAGGGCAAACATCGTTGCTGACACATAAATCAAGTTTCTGATTCTGATATCATTTGTAAGACAAAAGAAAATTGCTACTAATGAGACAAGGATTGGCTATTAATATATTATCAATATTTAGGGGTTGTTTACCAAATGTTTACCCAGGTAAACGCTTACCAAGTCACGTTACCTTACCGGATGAATATGACGAAGACCAAGAATCTTATCCGGTAAGGGCGAAGACAAAGATTGAGAGTCTTACCCAGTAAGTGAGGACGACAACTCTTACCACGGTTAGCGTTTACCGGGTAAATTGTTGCATACGATGCTGTATTGGTGGACTAAAATCTTACCCGATAAGTAAGTGCCGGGTAAGTGTTTGGTAAACGGCCCCTTAGTGTGTCAATTTCTAGTAAGAGAGTTTCTACCGATCAATATATTTATATTCTTAATAAAAGGATTTAAAAAGTTGTATGTATTTAAGTAGAATTGGGATCAACAAGACTGTTTTTGTAAGACACGATTTTTACACTTAAAACTTCAAAGCAAAACACTGCAAATGTAACTTTCACAGTGTTTTTGCTGTGCAGATTCGGCCTTTTCTTTTTATCTTCACAACATTTTGTTGTGAAGTTTCAAGTGTAAAAATCGTGTCTCACGTAAACAACCTTGTCTCACGTGAACCCAACCCAACCCTTTTGACGCATTTTTTTCGGTTTCTTTTTTTAATTTTACATATTTGACTCGTTAGAAATAACATACAACCCGAAGCAACTCATCCATTTGTAAACGAGTTTAATATTATCACCTCTAAATTTAACTAAAATCACTTGCGACTAGTAATTACACGATAATAAATAGAAAATTTTACAAGCTAGAAAGCAATGGGAAATCGGATTTGATCCCAAAACCTCAATATTACCATCAACAATTAAATCTCGTTTAATAAGGATCGATGCCAAGACCATTAATAACGTATGAGATCATACGTTCGCAAATAGTTTATAAGTCTTGGCATCGAGGCTTATTTGTCTTACTGCTGCAACTGCTGCCGTGACGCTGACTGCCGAGAAGATCACTGCTATGCTGGAATTTAACCAAAACATAGGGCTGCGCTTCGACGGCTTGAACGTCATATTGAACAACACCATCGGTAGAACAAAGTCCAACGGAAAAAACCCGAATGCTCCGATCATCGCATTAATGTCTCCAAAGAAAGGCAGCATTGCTGCTATGGTGGTTGCCAAGATCACTGATATCGATCTTGAGATCACTCTCGGGACGACGTTTCTGGCTGAGAATTCACCGCGTGTTGGATCTGCAAATGTTTTTTCAAGAACTTCGTTCGTTGGCTGCAAATAAACCTGTAAAAATAACGTAAGATACACAAGTCTTAAACCCATTATCATCGGTCCAAAAGGGTCCTATTACAACAAAAATCGGTTTTATATAATGCCATATCATGTCTAAGGCCTATTCATTAGCAGCTTAATGCAGCTTATTTGGTCAGCTATGCATGACTTTTTGGTAGTGGCTTAATGATATAGAAAGTGGTTTATTCAGTAAGCTTTTAAAGGGAGCTTTATGCAAAAACCCAAGTTTTTTTTCCAAATCTGCCATTTCCATTAAAAAACATGCTTCTTCCATCTATAAAAAAACCCTTTCAAGCAAAAGCATTGTCATTTTATACAGACAAATTAATCCACACAGACAACTTTATCCATATAAGACTTAATGAAAAACCAACCAAACAGCCCCCAAATGTCTTATTAAACTACTTGATTATATATTGTTTGATAGGACTTAAATTTATAGGATGTACGTTTTATATAAATGTGTTATTTCAAGTGTCCTAAAATTTGTTAGAATCCCCAACATTGTAACACCTTTATATAAGACACAAATTGTTTGGTCTTATAAAGTTGTCCATTAGAATATTCAAACATCTTTAACGTCCTATAAAACCATTTTTGTTGTAGTGTCTGTGGTTTTGAGAAATAGAGAGAGAGAAATTTACGACTGCAACTGCAGATAGCTGAAGTATGGTGAATATGTTGGTCATCATAATGAACCATCTGGGAACCAAAGGGTTGCCATCGTGATCGAGAAAGTTGCTTAAAATGAGACCTTCAGCTTCGTTACCAAATGCCCAATACCCGGAAATGGCCACACTAAAGAATGTCACCGTCACCACAGCATAACAAACGCACAACCCCTTGAACATCTTCCCTTTCACCGGTGGTGCCAATGTCGCCTACACACGCACAATAAATTATTTAAGTCTCATATTGGCCACACTTGGAACTTTTATCTTTAAGAACATATATTGGAGCTTTTCTTCTCAATCTCCTCAGTAATTCATTTAGAGAATAATCTGATGGTGTTTCACATGCTTTAATATGGTATTACAGCCAAAGGCCCGAGCATCTGGATTTAAAGTTAAAGAGGAGCACCGAGTATGAATTACTTGGATTTCCGGAATGATGCCATTTCCAAAAGTAGTGGCCACGATGGCCATTGCATTAAAGATTCCAAATATGCGAGTTTCGTCATTGGTGCTCAAAGAGTAGTTCTTATTTGTTCCTTTTGTAGTTCCTGAAATGTGTAATTATAATTTCATTACTATTTCTTAAATAAACAATATATATATATATATATATATATATATATATATATATATAGAGGAGCGATCAAATGAAAACCACCATCATTTGTAAAAACCGTACAAACCACTCTCATACGTCGATTTCATTGTTTAATCTTATGAAATATTTTCATGAAATTGTTTAATCTTGTGAAATTGTTTCATATAATACTTTTTTTGATGAATTTGTTTCATATATTGTTATGAAATTGTTTCATATAATATTTAATGAAATTTTAATGAAACTGTTTCATGTATTTCTCTAAAATTAAAATAATGAAGATGATAATATCCATGATTAACACCCTCCACAATAAAAATGGTTAATCAACCTCTCATAATTACAAAAAAATGAACAAAATGAAAAATTATGATTGGTTGAATGAGGTTTTCACGGTTTTTACAAATTGAATGATTTTTATTTGAACGCTCCCCTATATATATATATATATATATATATATATATATATATATATAGGGTCAGGTTAAAGAGAACTGTAAAAAATGAGAAACGTCCTAATAACTATTCATCTGTAGGGCATGTATATATACATACAAGTAATTGAAAATGTTTTTTGGTTTTTATATGTGTATACCAGATGCATATGTACACACCGTACAGATGAATGGTTATAAGATGTATATAATAATATTAATTACCAATGTAAATAGAAGCAGCAGTAGCAGAGGAACTGTAGAGAAGACATAGGAGTAGGGAAATAAGGTTGATATGGCGAAGGGAATGGAACGAAGGAACTTGTGCCAACATCAACATTAATACCCCGAACGTTATCACAAACTCATAAAGCTTCATTGTTCCATTCGGATTCCATAGCACGTATATTGCCTGCATCAATTTTCATTTTCATTTTCATTTTCATTTTTATTTTAATATATTTTTTAATCTTATATTTCCATTTTTACAAAACTAACCTTAAGGCATTGACCTCCCAAAAGGATATTGCCCACCACAGCACCATAGCACACCATGAACTGGATCGGTCCCACATAGTACTTGCCCCATCTTGCCCCTTTCATTTTGGGGATTTTAGTCGAACACAAATTTCTATTTTTCTTTTTAATTTATATTATATTATAAAGTATTTCACAAAAACTCTTAAAAAACATTTTTTATGCATAAAATACTGTATATTGATACATATTACTTAAAATTTAAGATTACAAGTAAATTATGCAAACGTACAACTTATTAAAGCTCCATATTTGAATTCGTGTAACTAACTGCGGATAAACATAACCAAATAGAGAATAAACATCTCATTTTAAAATATAAAAAATCTAAAATATAATTAGGATAATTATCGAGTTCTAACAAAATAATTAATTATTATCTTTATAAGAAAATTATATTATTAAACCAAATATAAATTACTTCGTTATTGAACCTAAATTAAATTATAAAAAAAATTGAATTAAAAAATTGCATAAAAAATAAGAATTTTTAATAGTTAATTTGATACTAATATCAATATATTTTTGTCAAAATTTCATGATATCTTCAAATTTATATTTTATTCAAAAATAAAAAAAAAACATCATCGTTCTTTTAAAAATCACATAAGACCATACTTTAAAATAGACTGAGATAAAGAATAAAATGAAATATTAAAATCAAGATTTATCTCGTTGTATTGCGCAAGTACCCTTCTAGTAAATAATAATAATAATAATAAAAACAATTAGTAGATTATGGTTTTCATCCCTGTGGTTTATTAAAAATTATAGATTTCATCCCTGTGATTTAAAATTTTCGATTTTCATCTCTATTGTTTGTAATTCATTTCTATTTTAGTCCGTAAGACCAAAACACTAAGTTTTGAGTATGAATTGCTAAATTTAGAAATAAATTATAAATCATAGGGACGAAATAAGCAATAAGTTTTGAATCATCAGGACGAAAAAAGTTATAAATTATAAACCATTGGGATAAAAACTGTAATTTCAAAACTATAAGGACGAAAATAATTTTTTTTGACAAACCACAAGGACTAAAAAGGTAATTTATAATTTTATTTTGGAGAGAATTCATCTTTCTACATATAATACGTAAAAAGAACATTAGAATAAATTTATGTCCAATGTTAATTTAATTCGGAAAGAATTATTAATATTTTATAATAATCAATAAATGAATAAAATACTTTAGTTAAATTGTGTTTGAGAAGAATATTATATTCAGATAATCACAAATAAAAATTTTTGTTTTTGTTTTTTAGGAAAAAAAATCAGATAAAAACACATCAACTTGCTGCTATTCATGGGTCGACTTTCTTTTAATAAATCTTAGAGCTTTGACTACAAAAATAGGTTCATAAAAACATTTTCGATATATATATAATTAATTAATTAATTCATAAATTTCTAAAATAAATTAGTTATTGAATATCTTCAATAAAACCTTTTTATTTCTTTTTTTCCAAATAAAAAAAATACCACCTAAAATCATCATGAAAAGGAAAAAAAAATCCTTTTCCAGAATATAAACCATTTTCTTAAAAAAAATCCATATTGAAATATTAATTTCTTTATTATTTATCTGATACAAATTAAATTAATGGAAAATTATTATTTTATTATGAAAAAATGAGGTCGGTAGTGATGAGTTTTGTTTAAAGTCAAGCCTCTCAGACTATTTTAATAAAATACCAAAGTATTAAATTTGAACTTAGATACTATATTTTAAGTTATCTTAAAGTTTCTTTTTCAAAATAAATAGATTTTATTCTAAATACCGGAATTTTTAAATTTTTATAAAAAATATTTTATTCGTTTTTTATGTCTGATTCGTCAAAAAATTAGGTTATTTAGACTGTTTGTTTTTTCCAATTTTTCAGAGACATTTGTGTTTTTTCATTTTGTATATTTATTACTTAGTTTAATAGCAATTTTGTGTTTCTTCGTTTTGTATAAAAAGAGAAATTAAGATGTTACCTAAGATATCGTACGCCATGTCGCGGAATCGAAGATGACGGTGACCCAACGCAGCATGGTGCTCGAGGACTAGAGAAATAAGGTTATACGAATAAAACGTCACGATTGCTCCAATCACCAACGACAACACCCCAGCTGTCCATCCTAGTGAAGCAAACGCAAACGGTAGACTCAACAACGGTGGTGCTACTATCGATGTCGTCAAATGATAACCGCTATGCCACCATGACCCTGCCATGTATTACGTTTGATTCTTTTAGATGAAGTATACAGTGTAATCTTGACAACCATTTTAACTAGCAAATAAAGACTAGGAAATGCCAGAGTCGTCCCATGAGTAATCAGTTCAAATATCCTTATAACCATGTAAGATTTCCATGATTGTTATCTTTAGAGTCCCATAAGATTAATAAATGCGCATACAAACTTGTCTGAACACTACAGTTGTATCCAAAAAAAAAAAGTATACAGTATGGTCGAAAATGATAAATAGGTCAACAACATTATTCTGTTTCACTTTAATTGTAGCACAGTAAATAGTTATCCAGTCTGGTATGGACAACGGCATCAATATAAGCGGTTATAGAGTCACATGATGTTTTATAAAGTTAAATGTTTTTTTCCCGACTATACTATTATTGTATCAGTGTTTTGAGATTCATCGACAGGAGTTCGTGGGAGTTTTCTATTATCCCTAGTCCATGCTACTATGGATATATGTTTCGAAATGTTAAAATTGATACTAACTACAGATTACCCAATAAAATGCAATAAATACACAGTATAACATAACCCAGTGTAAAATAATATTGAATTTGATAGAAAGCGACCCGAACAAGCATTTTGAGATAACAGCAGAACTCACAAACTTATGTTCAAAGGATTTTGAACCCATAGTTGTGAAACGAGCTTGTATGTATGTTTATATAAGTAGAAATAAACAAACCCGTAATTTCTTTTAAAATGGAGATGATATTCCAAAAAGATATTTTTTTAATAACTTATGAGACGAACGTAATCTTAAATCCTATATTTGGTTTTGCTAATGATCGATCTCCAAGATATTACCATATAAAGACCATATTAATTAGATTGGACATCACAAAACGATGGAAGATAGAGATTGAAAATGAAAAATTAGAAGCAAAACAAAATCAAATACGTTTCTTTTTTTGTGATAGTAAACTGATAATAATCAGTCGAGAAAGTCAGTATGACGAAAATAACAAAAGACCTGTTTGAATTCATGAAGTTTCATATATTATCCTTTGTATTCAAACGACATCAATTAATTAAGAGATATTATTAGAAATAGCAATTTGAGGCTTTTGATTCATCTCTTAGCTATTCTCCTCCAAGGTCCATAAGTAACATCTTCTCTATTTGCGGAAGAGTCAAAGTGTGAAAAAAGAAGTTTCCGAACCAGGTCCATAAGTACAGGAACCAAATCTGTAAATTAAATAAACGTCTGGAATTAACACCCAGGAAGTGGTTGAGACAAATTTATAGATTTGGTCCCCATACTTACGGACCTGATTCAGAAACTTCTTTTTTCACACTTTGATCCCCATATTTACGGACAAATTTACAGATTTGTGATGAAGAGAGAGAGGAAACCTAGTGGCATTTTTGAAAAAGTAAGAGAGAAATAACTAAGAGATGAATCTAAAGTTTGAAAATGGTTGTTTCAGTTAATTTCCCATTAATTAATCAAGTTAAATGATGATAACAAAAAGATGGTGGAGAAGATGATGGATGGAGGCACCTTTGGATTTAAGAACAAAGAGAGCACCGGCATCAAGTGGTTGTTTGTGGTGGTTGATGGCGGTGATGGTGGTGGCGGTGGTGGAAAACGCTTGGGCTTCTTTGATGGGTTCTTCATGGACTGCTCCAATGGTTCCCATCTCTCTCTGTTTCTAGAGAGAGAGAGAGAGAGAAGAGTATGCAAATGCTGCTTATTTCAATAGCAAACAAACAAATGAAGTGTCAACCTTCTCTTCTTTTGTGTCAATCATTTATAACCATTAATGTGTTTGTTTTATTTTCTTTTTTTTAATTATTATAATTAATAAATTTTTTAAATGGATAAATCTTTACGCTTAACGAAAACAATATGTTGTTTTCTATTCAATGTATCTAGATCAGTAACAAAGTATAATAATGAATAGTCCAGTAAAAAATAGTAAGTGTTAACCGGAAAATTTTTCTTATCGGATGAACATGAGCAGGGTCAATAATCTTACCGGGTAAGAACAATGAAAARAATTAATAGAGAGTCTTACCCGGTAAGTAAGGATGACGACTCTTACCCAGGTAAGCACTTACCTAGTAACTTGTTGCATTCAATATGTTTTGATGTACTAGAATCTTACGTATCAAAATAAATTATAATGTTGAATCATATCAGTAAACACTTACCGGGTAAGCATTTAGGTAAACGGCCCCTAAATACCGCTTTCATTATTCATTTCATATCAAGTGATTGGGTTGCATTGATTGTATAAATGGACATGGTTGCATTTGAAATATACACTATATATATATAGGGTATATGTGACGTTTCAAATACAACTCATCATTTTTGTACAACCAATGCAACCCAATCACTTGAGATATTTATAGAAATGATGAAAGTTCATTTATTATGATTTGAATATTTATGGAAAATGACTAGGATTCATTAATTATAATCGATACTTTATATTATGAAACAATCAAAACTTTTATGAAATCACATATTAATCAAATTAAATGGACAGTTGAAATTGAATTAAATTAGTTGTACAAATATAAAAGGTTACATTATAACTCAGATCACTCTATATATATTTGAGTACATTCAAAATGGAAGCTCACGTTTTATACATACGCAAACATTTTCACTTTATTGTAAATGTTTGAATTCAAAACTATTTCACCCTCATAGTTAAAGATTTATTTGTACAAACTTAGGATTTAATTCTTATGATACCAAACTCTTTGAAATTTCCACCTACTTCAAAATTCTTTTATAAAAAATAAACAATATATAAAAGTCACATGTTATAAAAACCAAGATTTACCAAAAGGTCTTTGGCCTAACGGTATTATAGCCTCTGGCCTTCTAGGAAACCAGGGGTTCAAACATCACCAAAGATGAAAAAGATATGTGAGTTTATTTGTTGCATTTACCATATATAAAATATTATATATACTTAAAAAAACCAAGATTTATTTTATAACAAGAAGTTGTGAAAATATTGTGGAAGTTTGATTTTATAAAAAATGAGATCCAAAATTGAATTTGGATGGTAACATTTTCAACTTGACTTAGCTACGGCTGGGATTGGATCTTCAATTTTGTTGTTGCACGCATCGCGTATCATATTTGAATTTGTAACAGCCTCTAAAGTGATGTGACACGTTTTCAATATAATGAACAGATTGAGTTGAAACCAAATAATATAATTTATTTGTGTCAATATCAGAACCAAAATATCAAGACGTGGCACAATTGCACCAACACAACATACTGACAATTTTATATAACTAACAGTTACGACTTAAAATCTTTTTTTGTAAATCAAACAGAACCCCATCAGAACGAAAGCCACAATTATATCCGCTTTTACGAAGAGAAAATACTCTATACATATATCATACGTATTGTCCTAAAAACTTCAAGAAAACCGTACATTCTCTTTAACTTTTGAATTTGAATTCACATTTATACTTGTTGTACTATGGAAACAACCACCCCCTCATAGATTTTAAGACCCCATTATTTGTTCAGGACCTTCCCCACCTTACCATGTCTGAAATAATGCAAGGTAAATTCATTGTTCCAACCAAACACCAATCACAAAAGCCTTTGATGTGCAATGCTTAATGACAACATGTTAAGTTAAGGATTGTATTTAGGAGAAGAAAACAATCGGATAAACTTAATAATCGTGTAGAAAAGCACTTTTCAGATACAACAATTCAACCTTATTAGCCTTGGGTTCACGAATTTCGTATTTGGATAATTCTTAAGGCTTTTTTTTCCAGTATTTCAAAGGATGTGAAAATCGAGACGTTTACCCAGATTCTCGTATTGCATATTTAAATGAGAGATCGACGATTATTGACGGTTTAACGGTTATAACTGTTAATGGATAAGGTCGAAGAATAGTTAGAAGCGAATATGAGTCCTAAACACACATGTTCACCAATAGGCCCACATTCAATGATGGCCGACTTTCAGCAATAGGTCATGTTCAGCGATAGTCGAAGACAAGATTTAGTGATGGTTGAAGACTTGATTTAGCGATAGCTGACACGACCGAATTAAGCGATAGCTGACATGACCAGAGTTATCTATGTTTTAGAGTTACGACTTAATAATTTTTCTAATATAAGGTGATAGGGGCAACATTTGTAAGTGTACAATTCACATATTCGAATTACATAAAAATACTTGATGTCACTAAAATCGTCAACACGGTAGAAATATATAGTTACTGATAACAAAAAAAACGTTACAACGATCAAGTAGATTAAATGGTAATACAATCATCGGTTATTGTTGCATCAAAAACTTATAAAAAAAATAAACAATTATGTTTAATAAATCCGTTTATAAGAGATGTACGTGTATTTGTGTATACAAATGCACGTACATATGTACATATTACAAGCATAAAGCGTCACATTTTGGTCTTAGTTTTATAGATAGCAAAAAACTGAGCAATTTAGTATAATAAAAGCATCTTCAACAGTTATCCTATAATTTTTTTTAAATACAATATTAATAGCTAAAATGTGTTAAAAAAATTATATTTAACTCCAAGAGCTACTCTATTTTAACAAGAGTGGTGCCTGATTGGTTTGAACTTGACTTCAAAGTTCAAAAGTACCAGAAAGTCTCAGGTTCAAATCCAAGGAGGAATAAAAATCCCCTTGTGGCCACGAATGTTCAAATGCGGTGACTTCGGGCTATCTGCAAAACAGATGGTCGTCCTAAGATTAGTCGGCTCGTATAGCGGGTTGGATATCCAAGTTAATAAAAAAATGTTATTAAAAGATATGTTAAACTCTTCTCTAAAACAGAGAAAAAGAAAATGAGATAGAATAAATAAATCCTCAAATTTAAATAAAAGGAAAGAAAATATTACGTATATGTTGGAGATATATCTATACTATATTAAAAAACATTTGACAAAAACTCTTAAAAACCATTTTTTATACACGAAGTACTGTTTATTAATGAATATTACTTAAAATTCAATATTACAAGTAAGTTGTGCATAAGTACAACTTATTAAACCTCTATCTTTGAATTCGTGTAACTAACTACAGATAAACATAATCAAATACGGGATAAACATATCATTTTGAATATAAAAAATCTTAAATATAGTTAGAATAATCATTGAGTTCTAACAGAATACTTAATGATTATCTTTATAAAAAATTATATTATTAAATCAAATTAAATTACTTCGTTACGTTAAATTAAATTATAATTAAAAAATTTGAATTAAAGAAATTACAAAAAATTAAAATTTTTTATATAGTTAATTTGATACTAATATTGATATATTTTTTTCAAAATTTTATGATATTTTCAAATTTATATCTTATGCAAAAATAAAAACATTATTGTTTTCTCAAAATCACATAAAAATGTATTATATCGACATAAATAAATAATAAAATAAAACATTGAAATTGAGATATGTCTCGATGCATTGCACGAGTATCTTTCAAATTTGTTAAAATATATAATGATGATTTTATAAGAAAAGTATGAATATAATTCGTTTTTCTTGCATTATAAAATATAAAATGAAGCAACTTAGTTGGAGTATGATTTTTGCAAAAGATCCTTGACCGCAATAATTCATGTTCATCTTGTCATCATGAACCATTTAAAGCACTCATTTATTTCTGGGAAAAATAATTGGGCACAGAGATGTTTACATATCATGATATTTTGATAAGGTAGAAGCTCTTTTTTTTTCTTTTTCTTTTTAATCGAGGATATGTGGGTCAGGTTGTGTACATCTCGACTAATTTCAAGTGTCTTGAAAAATAGTATTGAAAATCTTTAATGACTTTACAAGACAAGACAGAACAATTGTTCAACGTTTGATAAGATAAAACTGGATATAACAGAACAAGTAGAATGGACCAATTTACCTCTATTGAGTTTTTATTTTAATTAATTTATGTAATTTGTTAAATTCTAATAGAATAATTATTTTTTATAACAAAATATATCATTTGAAAGTTTTCGTCAAAACAATTAAAGTGACACCAAATAAAAAGTTTATGTAGTTTCTACTTTTTAGTTTATCTCTTTTCTACAATGTTTTTTTATTATTAATATATAATAAGTTACATAAATTAATAAAAATATAGAAACCGTATAAAAATAATATTTTGAGAGCAGTAAAATGAAAGTTTAAGAAACATAAAATACAATAAATAAAATTTTTAAAAAAATGAGACTTATTTGATGTTTTAGAAGAGAATTAAGTTTTATTTTGAGGTTATATTGGTAAAATATAAGTCTGTTCCACCTTGTTCCACATGGTAGAGGTGGGACAGGCCTCGTCCACTTTGTTCCTGTCTATTCCACATAAAAATCATGTCAAAATGGGATATGAATCCATGTCTTGTTCTGTCCAGTTATGTCATGTCCAATATACCAAACGCACCTTAAATACTCAAACTTTATTGTCAGTTGAGTTAATATATAAAAGTACAGAAGAAGCATTTTATTGTTAGCAAGATTTATTTTATTTAAATAAATCAAATTTTAACTGAATAAACAAATTATTTTGAAGAATCCAAAAATAAAATTATTATATTTACGATGTAGTTCGAAAATTTGTAAGAAAATGGTTTATGGCTGGGTGTTATGGGCCTTATTATTTTGGTTTGGGCTTTTCAGGCGGTCCATTTAGAATAAGAAAATTATATTCTATATCGTAAAATAAATGTCCATGATAAAAAATAT